GCTCGAATAATTTGGGTCCAAGGACCACCGAGCGGTTGTACAGTGTGAAGTGTGAACAGCTGTACCTATGCCAAGAAAATGAAATCTGGCTAAATGTTACACCGTCAAACACATATTGTTTTTCCCGTCAGCTCGTCCAAAACCTGGAGCCACCGAACTTTTCCGGGCTCCCTAAACTCCCATCTTCCCCAGCACTTTGCCCGGACTCACGCTCTCCGCCCGCTGGCGGATCCCTTTTACCCATCTTTTACCCCACGACACATCTTACCCCGCCCTGGGGAGGCGCCTAGCATCGATACTGCCCCTCGCATTGGCTAAACCAGTGAAGCCAATCAGCCAACCCATGGAATAACAGCCGACTCGCAATTATTCAACAATGGGAGAGCACAGAGCAAAGCTTTCAATAATGGCCACCAGGTGGCAGCAAGGGCGTTACTGCCGATCCACGGCCGGGGCCGGGTACCACGGAGCGCTGCCTACGCTGTTGGAGCTTTTGGTTTCATACTTGTTGCACACTACCATACTGTTGGAGATATAGGGGTAGTGTGTGACAAGTATGAAATCAATGCGGCGCTCCGTGGAACACGGCCCGGGCTGCGTCCGTCACCCAAGTCCCGGCAATTATCGCGCCTCAGGCTGATGTGCAGTACTGGCTGCTGCTGATGTCCAGCTGCTGGCAGACCAGCTTCAGGCTCATGCCGCCATGCCATCAAATGAACCCAAAGCTTTCAATCATTTGATAGAAAACTACCAAATGAATCCTTCCGTAACTCGACTCTTCTCAGAGCAAGAGTCACATCGCAAGGTCAGGTCACTGCCGAGGCGAGAGCCGATACCAGAGGCACGCATTCATCCAATATTCTCGCTTCTAAGGTCAGAAAAGAAACTATGCGAACAGATATGGCGAAAAATAGATGTGCGGATAATTTCGTTACACCCTGTAGGAGTTCCTTTAGACCATGCCCGTATCCTGTAACCAGCTGCAGACAGACTCTCGTTCGTTTCTATTCATGCCAATGAACTCATGACTTATGAGCGTCACTGCGCGATGGCGAATACAACACATGGCTTTTGAAGCAGTGTATGATAGTCAACAGCGGTGTATTGAACTGACATCGAAACATAGCAGAGTTCTAGCTAAACCACTTCGACAAGGCAAGCTCCAAAACTCAAAAGCATTAAATACCACCGATTACCAAAGAACATACAGCTTTCAAGCAATGCACTGTGCACGAGCATACACATGTAGCCCTCCAAAGCACCATTCACAAATGTAGGCATGTACAATAAACATGAGACGGTGAAGCTCAGTCTGCCTAACGTCCCAGAGCGCGCACATCCCCGCCACCTGAATGAGCGATTTCTGCAGGCTACAGACGAGACACACAAAACGGAATATGTCTGAAAGAACAGGTACGTAACCGGCATCGATTAACCCACTAAGAAACGAGTAAGTCTTGATCAGACCAATCATACGCCCGACATGGATATGATCCCTCGTGATAGGGAGCGACTGAGTGCATTCAGCGGGAGAGCTGGGACTTCCCTTTAAGGAACGCTGGTGTTATGACCACGTACATCACGACAGGCTAACAGATCTTGGACATTGAACCTTGGTGCTGATATTGACAGCACCATCAAATAGCCCCGCAGTGGTGCAGCACACCCCCTTCAGCGTTGCACTCCTCATAAGCAGCAACGTCAGGTGGAGGTGGAGCACTCTTCTCCATTTCATCTGCCTGTTGAGCCCATTCTTGTACCTGTGAAAACAATAAAATTTGTATTAACTGCTTCATACATACTGTATACAGCCTGACAGGGCATGAGATAGACCATTATCAGAAACTTTATGCACGTCTTTTATTACCACTGGTTGGTTCTGAGCAAATAACATCTGCCAAAAGATGAAAACACTTTAGATTGAACATACAATTTGCCCAGTTAAGTATACTTTTGTGACTTGTCTGTGAGTTGTGGGATAAAAAAAACCTTTCAAAAAACAAACTTTGAGAAGTGATCCCCTTACATCTGCCATCCAAATCACAAAGCAGAGAATCTCCTATCCTGTCTGGATCTGACAGTGTCTGCCCATTGCTCAAATGTCAATAACGATAAACAGTTATAGATAAATAGTGCCACAAGGCACAAACCTATTCATCTTATCTGCAGGTAAAGGACAGCATCTATAAAGCTCTGTAGTCGTTCACTGACCAAGCTGTCCAACAGCTGGCCATGCTCCTTTTACTTGCGCCTAGCCTACCTACGAATTGCTGAAGCAGTTGAAGCTGGTACTTTGCCCTGAGTAACAGATGGAATAACCCCCTTCTTCAGCCTCTTCTGCTGTTGTCTGGCCCTGGACAATGCATGTCATTGTTTATAGCACTGTGAAGTGTGTTTTCTTGCCTTAAACTTTGATGGATCATGAAGTATACGTACCTCACCTATGATGTTGATGTGAGATGTCTATGAAGCATGCAATAGCTTGTACAAATAAAGGTAGTAGTATAATTCTAATAAATGATTGTTGACCTCTGTAGTATTTAGGACATGAACATTGAACATTCCATGAAAAGCAGACCCATTTTTCGTTTGATACTTATGGTGGTAGCCGGTAGGTGACTTCCCAGTTCCCCGGGTGGCGAATGATAGGGTATATCTTAGATACAAAGCTGCGCATGACCATAAAAACTTACCGTAGGCAGTATATTCCAAAAAATCATCGTCGGTGAAATACTTCCGACACACAACCAAGTGTTTGATGGGATGAAATCCATTGCAGCCACTGAGCCATATCTTCCTCGGCCTCTTGTCGCGAGGAAATACAACCCCACCATTCTCCGAGCAGCCATAGACACAACACTGAGCCATTTTCTTCCAAATTTAGGTCTTATGCCACATGTGATTCACTATTTCCTCAATATTTCACCCACTTTCACCGCACGGCACGGCTCCGAACGGCACCGGCGCAAATTGAATCAGCAGGAACGCCTACAGTGACACCTGGCGGCCAAAGTTCCGTGTTATCTCCCATTTCCTAACAGGTAAACGACCCCGACACCACGGGACGGTCCGCCGTCCAGCCCCCACCCCGGGGCTCGCTTCAGATGATGAACCTCGTCTGAGGCGACCCGGCCCGGGCCGCCGCAGGGTAATGGGCGCCCAAAGATTCATAGGTGTACGCTGTGAGCCGTCCCACGCAGTCATCTATCACTACGGATAATTGTCTGTACAGACGGCCGCTAACCACAGAATACGCAAGACGTGAGATGAAGGAAAGCGGCAGTCGCCTACGAAGGGAAAGTGCCTACATTACCCTGAGTGGTACCTTAGCCCGCGAGGCGCGTCACGTACGCTCACTCAAACTCACTAGTTTGCCGGTCAAAAAGGTATATTTTCCGTCAAAAACACAATCATCAGCCATGCGCACTGTAGTGAACGCCATGCAAGGTATGTGCTTTACATAGTGGCACAGGTGTTCGTGCCCATACCTGATCTCATCCGGCTCGTCATAACCTCCTTCAGTACACAAAACGCAGCGTCTTCCAATACAGACGCAGCATCTCACTAGACAGACACACACCCGACAGCGCATCTCAGTCCGCGCCATACACACCACAGAATGACGGGCAGCGGGGGAGCTGGGGGCGCCCCTCTGCTCTCTCGCCGGGTCTGACCCCCCAGCGCTGTCTCCCGCTCTACCGGGTACGTCCGCGGTACGCGGTGTACGCTCACGGTACACGGTACACGCGGACTAAAGAAGTGGTACACTGAGCGTGAAGCCCGGACGGCTTTGGGCGACCGGAGCAGCCGGGGGCCGCTCGGTCGCCCATCGATGGATGCAGTCCAAATAACGCCCGACACGTGCTAGACGGTCATTGGAGCAGCAACTTACAAGCTAAGCTTATAATACTAAGGTATTAGGTACTTACACTAGGCTAACATACTTATACTCTAGATTATGTGGCTGGTACTATGAGCACAATTACTGAGAGTTGTCAGCGCTGTGCAATGCAATGCGACATGCTTATTGCTTCGTGCGTTGCAATTAAACCTAACGTGGTGAAGACATGTTTGCATTGTTAGTTAGCGCGCATGCGCCTTACTTATTCTTAAAAATCCCAGCACCCAAGAATTCTTAGCAACATCCGCCGAACTAGCTAACGACAGCGCATAATAAAATATGTCACTTAGCACGAGAGTCGCCAACTAACTACACCTAAGTTTACGGCATGCTTTATGCTTCCGACACCAGAGTATCGACGAGGAAACGCTATCGTACAAAAGCGATTAAAAATAGCCTTATCTAATTTCCCTTTTAAGTCTTATATTAACTAACACCACCACCCTATACAATGCTTATATACCTAACTATTCTATTTTATAACCTATTGTTTCTCTTCAGCACTGTGCTGAAAGATACCAAGTTTCCCGTAACTTGTAGCAGAAAAGTGCAAAGGCATGCATATTTAAATACAAAATACACAAATGCAGCGGATCGAATGGGTGCAGTCAAGCACTCGAGGCTGCTCCCACATCGCGTAACCGTGTTACACCCAGCCAATATCCAGCCCTGGTGATGGCGGCCACTTGTCACCTGTAGTGGGAGCGGCTTCTTCCGAGCCTTTGGGTTAGGACACAAGTGAAAACAACCCAGAGGATTCATCCTGACCAGCATCACGTCAGCACACGCGGTGTACTTACAGCCGGAAATCCGGTACTGTAGTACCGAACTAGCCGGAAGTACAGGCGGACTACATAGGGAACGACAACCTGGATCTATCTCAAACCGGGAGCCACCTCACGGGGACACCGATCCATCTCAGACCAGAGGGCTGCTCCAGGAGACAATAAAGAGCTTTTCGTGTGCTGAGGTGGATGCTAGCGTCACTGGTCTGGCATAATTTGTTTGCTCAGACGGACCAGCGATTATGGAGTCAGTCAGATGCGAGGTTTAGTCAACTAACGGATTGTGAGCCCACAACTCCATTGGAAATACATGATTTATCTGCACAGCAGCTCTTCAGTTTATTGCAAATACTGAGAGGCATTGGCGGTAAATGGTCAGCATTTGGGCGATGACACACGAATGCAATGGCAGTGGTCCACAGTTTGCACTATAGGAGCGGGAGCTGGGATGCAAAACGCCGCTGCTCCTTCACGCTCAATGAGATGGCGTCAAAAATCACCGCCAGTTTGATTCAACACAAACGCTTCTGCAAACACAACAGCCACCCATTCGGCGCAGCAACAACACCAACGCTCTCTTGAATACACTTGAACTCGATTATATCTCACATCGCATGGCCACAGCTCAGACCTTGGCTTTCACACATGCGCCTTTAGCCGGTAAACACCTCCCTGCACTACGCGCACTCCACTGACCTGTGTCCTGAGACCTCTCGAGTCCACTCAGCAGCACACCCCTACTGCCGTCTAATTGTCACGAACTGGAAGTAACGCCGCCCGGCGACGCCTCTGCACCGCCCGCGTCTGCCGCCCCTGCCGCGACCACACCGGTACTCACAGCTGGCTGATCCGACTCCACACTGTCCTCAGCCGGCGGCGGAGGCGGCGGCGGGGACGGGGACGGGGACTTCTCCGTCGGCCCGTCCGCCGCCGGCTGCTCCTCGCCCGCCGCAGAGACAGCCTTGGACGGCCCACTGTCCTCCCCTCTCACCTCGCCGCTCTGCCCGGCCTCCCCCGCTCTCTCGGCCGCCCCCTCGGCCGTCTCTGCCGCTCCTCGGTCCGAGTCTGCCACGGCGCCGGCGCAGTCCGGGGTCGGCAGCGGCGGCAGCAGCCGGCGGTGGCGGAGAGCCGCGCGCAGCCGGTGCCGCAGGTAGCGCACCTGGTGGGCGCGCACCTGCACACGCAGCAGCGCCATGCGGTGGGTGCTGGCCAGGCCGGCCCAGTGCGACATGACCGCCTCCCACTCGGCCTCAGAGGGCTCCGGGCCAACGGGAACCCCCACCAGGTCGGCGTCGTAGAACGGCCGGCCGACGCTGGGGTCCACGGTCTGTGTGCCCACGATGGCGGACACGTCCAGGCCCTCGACCAGCTCCAGCTGCCGCGCGTTGCCAGACACTCCGCTCCGCGGCGCTCTGGAGCGCGGCCTGCTCACGGGCTGGGAGGACGTGCTCGGGGCCGGCGGGGCGGTATCCGGGCGCGGTGCGGGCCCGGGCGCGGCGCCGTCTGCCGGGCCAGCCTCCTGGCCCTGCTCTCCGTCAGCGCCAGCGGAGTCGTCCTCGGCAGCGCCGCCGCCACCGTCAGCCGCTTCTCCCGGGTCGTCAACATCATAAGCAGCATCGCCGGCACCTGCTCCGCCATCAGCACCATCATCAGCTCTCCCCGGATCATCAGCGTCTCCGTCCGTACCGTCGCCCGCCCCGGGCTCCGACTCCGAGCCGCCGAGCTGCTCCGGCTGGAACCCAGGCGAACCGGGCGTGTCCTGGTCAGCCTCCTCGCCCTCTGAGACGGCCGTCTCGGCGTAGGAGACGCGCGCGCGGCTCCGGCGCGGCGGGTTCAGCTCCAGCTGCAGGGCGGCCAGGCGCGTGTCTTCGGCTCCGCGCTGGCGGCCGCTCGGCCGGCGCCGGCGCGCGGCCGACCCGCTGTCAACGCCAGCGCCCGAGGACACGCGGCGCCGCTTGACCCTGGACGGTCGGACGGTGAAGGTCTCGTCATCGGGGTCAGAGTTGTCCGAAGGCGAGTCGCTGCTGTTGCGGCGGCGGCGACGGGGTGGACGTCTGCCCGTCGACGCCTTGCTTCTGTACTCATCCTCCTCTGTCGAGGACGCTAGACGCTGGCGGCTCCCGCGCGAGCTGGCTCTCACCACCTCCTCTTCCTCTTCTTCATCCTCCTCCTCCTCAGAGATGATGATGGGCTGCTCGGGACTGCCGGAGCTCTCCCGCGCCGCCTCCTGCTCCTGAGCGACCTGCGCAGCGGGCGAACGCAGGCGGCGCCCCACCACATCGTCTCCGTGAACGATGTAGGCCGCAGTGGCCACCTGCGGGTCGCGCGGGTCACCGATAGTCTCGTCCAGCGACTCGAGGAGAACCACGGCCGGTCTCTGGAGCACGGAGAGCACGTGAGCGGGCACGGGCGGCCAGCCGTCGCCGCCGCCGCCGCCGCCCGGCCCGTCGCCGCCGCTGCCGCTGTCGCCGCCGGGGGCTGAGGAGCGGGCCGCGCCGGAGTTGGAGGAGTTGGACCTACGGCGCCCGCCGCCATCTTCGGGGAGCGCGTTGGCCACCTCCTCCTGGTAATAATGGTCCACCACGCCGTAGTAGTGTTCGGTGGCGCTACGCCTCGGCCGGCCGTCGTCCGAGGTCGGAGCGCCGGCGGCGCCGGCGGCGGTGGGGGCGGTGGCGGTACCGCCCCTCTGGGGCCCGCTCCCGGGCGGCGGGCGCGGCTGGTCCGGCGGCGGATCGTCGTCCCCCGGGCCCCGGTCACCGCCCCAGTCCGCGCTACTCTCACTGTGTATTACACCACCAGAGGCCGACTCGAACTCGCCCATCCGTAGGGAGGTGACCTCGCTCACTGTCAGCTGGCCGAGGCCGGACGAGTGGGCGCGTCTGACCGCCGTGACACCAGTCGCCTGCAGGCGGACAGGAGGGAAGCCACGGGCCGTCTTCAAAACCGAAGACACGAGCGGGCTTTCGTTTCTGACCGGTAACGCGTTGGGAATTTTCTTGCCTACCGGCGACGCGTTTGAGATTTTCTTTTGGGCTGGCGATGCTCTGTAGGTTTTCTTCGAATGCGGCGATGCGATTTTCTTTCTGGCCGGCGATGCGTTGGGAGTTTTTCTTCTGGCGGGTGAGGCGGTCGGAGTTTTCTGAGCGGTGGCCGCGGCGGGGGTGCCAGTTCGAGCGGCCGGCCAGTGGCCGGGGTTCGGCCGCGGCCCGGAGTCGGTCTGGTAGTTAACGCGCAGCAGGGAGGCGCCCGGCGGCAGGTCGCCGAGGCCGTTATACGCAAAGGTCGACATCGAGGCTGACGAAGGGTGAGGCGAGAGCTGTGGACAGCCAGACGGAGCCCCGTGAGAGACTGCGGGGCTGGGCGGGTAGGGGGGGGGAGGGGGACGGGGGAACACATGGGCAGAACGACAATTTAAACGAGCATAATGATTTTAACAGTAACAATTATAGTCGTTACGTTTAAAAGATTACTTGAATTAGACGTAGCTTGCAAGGTAAATAGACAAACTCTACAAGTAAATCAAATTAGCATTGTAAAACACATGTGAAACACGAACATGCTTCGGAACCAAAGAATAAAACTCAAAAACTACACAAACAAAACAAAACGACAGCATAAGTGAGCCAAGCCGGCCTACTGACTCCCAAAAATAAAAATCGACTAAATATAGGCATCGAAACCAGCCACAAACAACCAATGGTGTGGAAAGCACGCACACACCCACGCAAGAAGCACGCAGTGCACCAAACTCGTGGGACGGAAGCAGAAAGCTGCTAAGCAAAACAGGCTGAAGCGGATCTACAACGACCACCGGAGCGCCAGTGGATGTGTTGCCACGTGGGCGCGATTGTTCGTTCTCTCCTGTTCCGCGCCGCTGAATGGATGTGTCCACGGGCACGTTGTCTCACATGACAGAGTATCGTGTTATTGACACACGTCTCCGGCCCGGGCCCAGGTGTGAGAGCTGTCCACTCACACCGGAGCGAGGGGATATCGAATCAATCAATCACCGGTAATCCCTGTCAGTGGCGGAGTGACACGCCCCCCCCTCCGGGAAGGGATTTCCACCTGGCGTTCACTGCGGCATTTCCCAGTCACCGCCCTAACCTAACATCACACGGGCCGTGCGCTTCGACCTCGCCAGTACCAACGCGTGACAACCGTCACAAACCGGCCCTGAGGCAGGGACCGGGCTGGCGGCGCTGGGCTAATGGAAACCGACCGGGCCGGATAATGGCCGTTTGACAATTTGAGGTCAGCCGCCGCGCCGGCCCGCAGTCAGACTGAGGGCGGGGACGCGATGGGGACGGGATAGAGACGGGATGGGAGGGATGGGGGCTGGACGGGGATGGGATTGAGAGGGATGGGACGGGCCGGGATGGAGACGGGATAGGACTAGGAGGGATGGGACGTTAAAGAACAAGAGAGTTGAACGAGGACGAGGGTAGTACATGACTTGGATGGCGACATCAAACAACGCCACAAAACTGGTCATGCCAAAGCACCCTGCGGCTGAATGGCGTTCGACCATTCAAGGAATCGAGTTGGCACTTGGTGGAAACCTCTACATTGTAGGTGTTTCATGACAGCGGAGAAGAGTTATCACCCGCTGGTGATTTATCGATCACAGATCGTCCGGCTGACGGTCGCTCACACATGAGTCATGTATGTCATGTGACATGTGACATGGCCGTGAGAAGCGGCCGGCCGGGCCCCACGGCCCACGGGGGCCCCCCGCTGAACAACAGGGGGACCGGGAGCACCCGGGCCCCCTGTGGTGGGTCGGGGTGCCCCGACCCACCATTAATCACGGTGTCAGGGCCAGTGGCTATTTCACGTGCTGCTGGGAGCGCTATAGACGCGGCGCGCTACCCCCGTCGCTCGGCGGGGCGCCCACCCCATGATCACAGCCGGGGACCAGGGGGCAGCGAGACAGAGGTAGGGATGGCAGCGAGGAGGGGGTGGGTCGGGAATGGATGGGGGAGAGGGACAGCGTCCACCAAGAGGAAGAACAAACAGTCCGTGTCCACAGCCGAAGGACACGAGATCACCGTCGAGTCGATCCTAGGTGCCAGACGGCGGCGAAAAACAGCCCCCTCCACTGCGCCAGCCGCACCCGTGATTTATGTCCTGCCCAGCGTCCAAGCAGCACGCAGCGGCGCTGATACGGTACAGATACGGTGCGCCGCAGGCACGAACTGCGTCACATTCGTCTCGGCAAGTGCGCATTGTGACTGCAGAGCTGGAGCAACGAGGGGTGGGGGGGGGGGAGAGATTGAGGCCGACAGGATGGTGGGAGAGGGAGAGGAGATGGAGCAGTGCACTGTGCGCATGTACTCTCTTGTGAGAGAGAAAGGGGAAATGGAGCAGAGCACTGAGCGCAGGAAGAAACTCTTGAGGCAACAAAAGCGGGTCCACTCTTTTGCACCCAGTCCTACTGAATAACTGACAAAGTGCTGCCTTCGACGCTGAATCGTCAACGCTAAAAAGGTCCAATCCTCGGCAGTCACAAAGAAATTCATATGGCGGCCATGCATAGGCGACAATGATTTACCAGTTCGCATCCAGCTGGCACATTGACATGAGTGTTATATGCTTTACGCTATAATGCATGTATTCCGGGGAAAAATCACCCATCTAATATCGTCATATGATCTTATAGCAATACAAGACGAAAATTTCCAATGAAAGACATTTTCCGTGACTATGGGCCGGATGGAAATCGAAAATGCAGAGAAACTACTTCAATAGTGTAATTAAAATTGCGACACTAAACTCAGTTTATGAAATTGAGAACGAGTCGCAGTATGGGAATGGTATCAACGGAAAAATATCAGTAGTTTTGTCGAGGAAGGAACTAAGTGCGAGGATGAACTAAACAGTGACAAAAAAAGCTGAACCGAGCAAGCGTTTACGAAATTCCACTAAAAAATCATCGATGCTAGAAAAGAGAGTCGTTCCGATAAATGAAAACTTAAAATGCGATTGACGTAGAAACCAAAGCTTCGAGAAAACGATAGGAAATGAAATAAAATAAGACCCAGACCGTATCGAACGAATGCCAAAACTCAGCTGCGAGCTACGAAAGGTCAGACGCTAGCAATGCCTTCCTCCGGATTTACCGAGCCTTGCTACAGACTGCCGACGGCGCCCATCCCGGCAGCGCGTTCCGGAGTCCTAGCCTGCACCCTGGACGGCCAGCCGGGCGGCGGACGCTGGCCGTCCTCCCACCACCTCGGACCGCGCCGGGCCGGGCCGGTCTCACTAACCCTGGCTGGCGGTGCGCCGGGCTGCGGCCGGCCGGCCTCCTGGAGCGGCCGCCGCCGGCAGACGGCCGCATGCGCCGCCAGCTCCGCCGAGTCGCGGAAGTGCGCCGCGCACTGGGCGCACCCCCGCTGCGCCGGCGCAGACTGACCTGACGGGCGCGCCGCGGCGGCGTCCAGCCGCGCCGGCGGCGGCAGCAGCGTCACCGGGGCGGCGCGCACCGCCACCCCGGCGCGCTGCTGCAGCTGGCGCTGACACGTGCGCTCGTGCAGCCGCAGCGCCGGCTGGTCGGGGAAGTCGCGCAGACATGTGGCGCACACGGGACCGCACGGTCCGTCCTCGTCAAGGGCCAGAGCGCTCCGCTTGCTGGCCTGTCGCGCCGGGGAGTCGGCCGCCCGCTTGGCGCCACTGGAGGGCGAGCTGGTGTTCTTGGCGGTCGGCTTCTTGCGTGCCGGCTGGCGGTTCTGCCGCTTGGGTGACGGCTGCTGCTGCTGCGGCGGCGGCGTGAGTCGCTGCTGCTGCTGCTGCTGCTGCTGCTGTGGCGGCGGCGGCATGGACTGCTGCGGATGCTGTTGCTGTTGAACGGGCCGCTGCTGCTGCTGCTGTTGCTGAGGCATGAGTGGTTGCTGAGGCGCAGGCCGCTGCTGCTGCTGTTGAGGCATCGGCTGCTGCTGCTGCTGGTGCTGAGGCATCGGCTGCTGCTGCTGCTGCTGAGGCATCGACTGCCGCTGCTGCTGCTGCTGGTGTTGTTGTTGAGGCGCAGGCCGCTGCTGCTGCTGCTGCTGAGGCATCGGCTGCCGCTGCTGCTGTTGCTGGTGTTGAGGCATCGGCTGCTGCTGCTGCTGCTGCTGCTGGTGGTACTGCTGTGACGGTGACGGTGCCGAGTGAACTGGCGAGTGGCGCTGAGCCTGCGACATTGACGGCTGCATGTTCTGCTGCTGTGGCGCCCGTTGCTGGTGTTGCTGCTGCTGAGGCAATGAATTCTGAACAGGAGCCGGTCGCTGCGGCTGCGACATTGGGACTTGTGCAGAGGACTGCGGCTGCGGCTGGGACATTGGGACTTGCACCGGAATTGGCTGCTGCGGCTGGGACATCGGAACTTGTGCAGGGGACTGCTGCGGCGGCTGGGACATTGGAGTCTGAGCGGGAGCCTGTTGATGCGGCTGCGATACCGGTGGCTGTCCAGTACGCCCCTGCGGCTGCAGCAGCTGCTGCTGGTACCACTGCGTCAGGCGCTTGGCGTGCGACAGCTGCTCCTGCTGTCCCTGTTGGCGCTGCTGCTGGCGCTGCATCTCCCTGACGGCCATCAGCTGCCGCTCGGCGTTACTCATCGGCTGTGGCGGGTACGGCGCCGGCTGGCTGGCCGCCGGCCGAGCCGCCACGCCCTGGTACAGCAGGCGCGGCATGGGCGCGGCGGGAGCGCCGCCGGGCTGCGTCCCCATCGGCCGCGGCGGGCCGGCGCCGGCCGGGGTGCCGGGCATGGCCTGCCCCACCTGCTGCTGCTGCTGACAGAGCCAGACGTATCCGGGCACCGAGCGCAGCGGCGGCGAAACAGTCACTGGGCCCACCGGCGTCCAGCTCGGAGGCACCTGGAGCACAGAGAGACACCGCGTGAGACAACACAGGGGCAGAGCCGCCCCGGGGCACCGGCAGCAAAGCTACAGACACTACCCTCCCATACACTCATACATACGCTCCAGAACACATCACACGACCGCCGGGTTGAGCGACCGCCAGCTTATTTGACTAGTCGGTTCGTATGGTCTGGATTGTGTTTACAATCCACCCCATTCAGACAGCCGCGCCACACCTCCCACTGTGATGCGCCATATGAACCCAGGATGGGATATCCGGCAGTAGGGATCAGTGAGGATTTTGGCACGGACCTGGGGCGCCTGACTGACGGAGCGAGGTCAGAGCTAACCCCACCTGCCAGCCCCTCAGGCTCGGCGGCGCTGCTTTGATAGCCAGTTGTTTGACGTAGGGGAAGAGCAGTTATCACCAGGGCGATAAGAGCTCCGCACCAGGCGATAGGGCGGCCTTTTAGGCTACAGCTGATATATTGCTAACACGCAGCAGCTGTCGGCTCTGGTGAAATGATAAACGGGCGGCGAAGGCCGACTGACGGCCATTGGGGAACTGAGACGGCGCACTGCGAGCGGCTGGGAACGGAGAAAACCTCTCAAAGGAATACCAATTAGGACGACTTACAGGCCAAAGGCCGGTGCCGACCATGTCAACTACAGTAAAAAGCCTTGTTCCGTCAACAACTTTAACTGAACTGACACTGCTCAATCACTCCGGAAGCATCGCCGGAACGATCAGTGAACGAAAAAAGAAACAAGTGCAGCCTGTCAACGGCTAAACCTTCTGATTCAACAGATTCCTCATCGACTTCGCCAATACCCCGGCTGACACCTAGTCAAGTGGGAGGAGCCGAGACTGAGAACATAACCGAATGACTGAGCTGTTGTTATATTCGCAGACAATAAAGGAATAGTGCAATGGTGATATCCCATGAAGTAATATCATGAAGTAATAATCATCCTTCTCCCAACAATCTTTTTCCTTCTCCTCCCTATACCAGTCCGCAGTCACATTTGTATATTTACACCCCAGTCTCCGCCCTGCCTCTGTCCCCGTCTTCTGGATTAATGTCTTCTGACGACACCATCTCTTCTCACCGGACTGAGACCCAGCTGACAGCACCCATTCCTTAGTCCATTTGTAACAGAATGTATATTTACACCCCAGTCTCCGCCCTGCCTCTGTCCCCGTCTTCTGGATTAATGTCTTCTGACGACACCATCTCTTCTCACCGGACTGAGACCCAGCTGACAGCACCCATTCCTTAGTCCATTTGTAACAGAATGTATATTTACACCCCAGTCTCCGCCCTGCCTCTGTCCCCGTCTTCTGGATTAATGTCTTCTGACGACACCATCTCTTCTCACCGGACTGAGACCCAGCTGACAGCACCCATTCCTTAGTCCATTTGTAACAGAATGCCGTGCCGGGATGTAAAGCCAGAGTAGTCGCATCTGGTACCATGAGCCCGAAATGGGCAGTCGTACCGACCGTGTCGCCAGGATGGGGCCCGTCAGCCATCCCGCTGACTCGATCGTTTATCACAAACACCGCAGCAGCTGATCGCGTGTGAACCAAACACCGGAGCAGCTGATCCTGTGTGAACCAAACACCGCAGCATCTGATCCCGTGTGACCCAAACACGACATCAGCTGATCCCGCGTGAACACAACACATCACCTGTAACGTATGCAATCGGCTAATAGTTCGGGCGTTCCTTTTGGTGTCCGGGTTTGCACTTCACAGATCTTGAGTATGGTTTTAATTAATGTATGCCTACGTGGTGGATATACTTAAATTTCGACTGTTTAACACTCCGCCGGTCCGTTATCACCCAGGTCCCAGACCGTGAGAACAAAACACCGCGTCAACTGATCCGGTAAGAAATGGACCGAATTGGAAAAACAATTTTGAGTGAAGAACAAAAAAAGATTGGAGATGTGTCGTGTGTTAAAACTTTCACAGCAGACAACCGGCAAAGGAGAGTCTGGACCAATTAGGACACGACACGAGCGAGTGTGCGGAACAAAGTACACACGTTCGGCAAATACGCACTCCGGTCTACGAGAGCTTCCAGTCTTTGTCCAGTCATGACTTTGTGACGGTGGGCAATAGGGGCAATAGTGCGATTCTACACAGCTGCCACGTGGCAAACAAATCGATCCACCCCCAATCATAGACCGTAAACAAATCACACTGATCGATTTAACAGCGGTCATAAAGCGAGTTAACACAAATGACGGCAATAAAACCCCGCCCGCGCTCACGCCAGGCGTGTGATACGGAGCTCAAATGACTGACAGAGTCGGACTCCCGCGTGTGTGACACACATGTCGGAGAAGATAAACAGCCAGCCGTCCAGAACTGAGAGCACTTATTATGCAGCCAGCTGGCCGGAGCCATGGACCGAATTGGCGCCATAAACCACTCACGGGATTGGGGCGGACTGATGAAAGCGCGCTGTGTGTCAGAGAGAGAGACGGTACCTCACCGTCCCCTCCCCCAGGGCCGGTACAGCCCGGGGCCGTGCGAAGGTCTGGTCCCTGACCGTCCGACGGTCCGCTCATTGATGAGCTGGTCCCTGAACGTACGACCATCCCCGGCCGGCCGAAATATTAGCATGCGGCGCAGTGGCTAGGGCTGCGGTTTCGGCCATGGACAGACTGTTCCGCATTCCACCATGTGTCCTTCCTCTCTCATCCTCATCGTTCTAGACTATAAAGCATACAGCCTCGTCTGGGTTTATAGGCACTGGCCGCCTCGCTGTCCAGAAAAACCGTACCGCAGTCAGGCGCCGATTAGGGAGCACATTTGTGAAACTACCAGACGTCACCAGGAGTGATGGCCACGGGGGTGAGCACAGGTGCCAGCCATCGCTCAACGCACAACACAAGTCGCACGCTCATATACAGTGGGGAGCGAGCCCTGATGGGCAGATAACGTTAAACGGCCCGGCGACAGACACAGTGCGCCTTACGGCAGTTGTTTCAGACGCTGTCACAGAGCAACAGATGCACAGCAGCTTGAGCTGATAAACCATTGCACACACATGAGGGAATAAATTCGCGACATCAAGCCAAGGGACAAAGTCTAAGTCAAATGGAATTGACGTTCACCATGATAATTTATTTTATCACAAAGCCATCACAAAGCCTCCTTAGAAAATCGGACTGAGTATTAGCCGATTACGATCACTAATTAGGGGAAGGGGGGGGGGGGGGTTGGGCGCCCGGACTACAGTGCTCATCGGCGTACGATCACTAATTCACGAAGAAGAAATGTCAAGTCATACCTATACCAAAAACTGTCGAACAAATTGAAACAGGGCAATCCTGTGGCGGAAATAGCATCGATATCGGAACTAAAAGACGAATCGAGGAAATTCTTCAAAAACCTAGATTATTTAAGCCTTTTCAATCCGCAGAGACTGCCCTAGCAAAGCCGCACGAGTCTCTGCGGAGCAAGGTCTTCAGCAGCAGGTTCCACAAGTGACCAATGGAGGCGTCAGGATCAGGAATTCAGGACCTAGAACAGCTAACGCGCCTGGGACCCAAGAGTACAGCAGTCAAAAACACCAGCATGAAGCAATTCACACGTGACAGGTGTCAAACCGATGACGGTTGTTGACATCGGAACGCCAGCATGATCACTCTGATGAAGCCTGAGCGGCGGCAGCAGAGAGGGGCCAGGGGTCAGCCCATGTCAGCATTCTACAATGCAACAATCGTCAGTCTGAGCTGGGGTCAGCGCGACATTCACCGAGCTCCCCGGAAGAGTCTTCTCGTGCTACACCCGCCGCCAGCGCGGACCCTTTCAATGATGCGGAGTCACAGGCGGCAAGCGCAGCCCCCGACACGTCAGAGCCAGTGGCTCGGTAGGTGGTGGGCCTCGCAAGGTCTCCTGGTCTCAACCGTCTCAGCGGTAACAGTCAGAAGCAAGGGAAATACTGATGGTAGACAGCAAACCGTTTCCAGAATTCGTTCAAGGATTTCAAAGCAGACTCTTTTCCGGTGATTTTTATTCGTGCGCGCGAGTACGGACCGAAAAAAAGCATTGAGCTCGCACCCGTCCTGGAGACAACTCATCCTTAATGTATGAGTCAGCGGCACCGGCGGCCGCTCGGTGCACTGGCCCTTGGCAGACACGCATACCTACCACGAAAGGCTCTCAGTCTGTTTCGTGTCAGCTCAGAGTTCCGAAGTGCCGGTGTAAATGTATGGCGTCTGGCCGGCGCCACCACACATTTTCTAGAGATAAGAAGCGCTCCATCGCGCTTGCTAAGTGCTAAGTGCCGTGTAATGCTCTAGTCGTGTCTTCTGAAGCGGCCCTGAACAGTGAATGTGGTCGCCACGTGATCTACCGTCACAAGACCTGCGCGTGGCACCGCGGTTCATGTACCTATAACTTCTGGCAATGATATGTTTGCAAACATATTACGAGCTATTCCCGCCAGACGGGTCATTTCTGAGCAGGGCTTTCGCCCAGCATAAAAACACAACCCTCCTTGAAACCGAACACCAACTACTCTGCCCAGTGACAGAGAATGGAAGCAGAATTCCATCTTTTTTTTCGAGTCACCCCGGCAAGGCTAAAAACAGAAACGCGCCTTGCCCTTAGGGTAAAAAACGGCCATTTGATCGGCGTGGGCCCTTCCAGAGGCCAGAAGGGGCACCACGGGTAACATGCGTAGAGCACCGGGAGGCCGGTGGGTCGGTCCCTCAGAGGCCAGCATGGGGCACCCCAGGAGGTCGGCTCGTGGACTGTGGAACTTTGAACCCCGGGAGGCCGACGTGGGGTAGCGAAAACAAATGTGCGGTGGCCCCTTGAAAGACCGGCGTGAGGCACCCTGAGGCCAGTGCGTGGGGGCACCTCCTCACAGAGGCCAGCGTGGGAAAACTCGAGGCCGGCGTAGGGCACCCCTAGAGGCCCACGTGAAACACTACAGGAGGTCGGCGTGAGCCCTGAGCAGTGAGCTCCCGACGTGTCGACCCTCAGGGGGCCAGCGTGGGGCACCTCGTAAGGCCGCGTGGGGCCCTCAACGTGGGGCCTTCAGGGCCTTACGAGACCGGCAGGTGTTCTCAGCAGCCCAAGGGGCTATGGACATAGGATTTCTATGGATGGTCATTGAGTGGCAGAGCGCACTCCGCTCTTTGCGCCCTCTCGGCAGACCGTAGCGTACTTTATTTTTGTGCCGAAATGATGTTTGCATGCCCAATTTTTGTAAGCACGTGCACCTGCGCACTATGCGGTACGCATTTCTTACTCTCCTGGCACTGCCTTTCATCACTCGAACATCTAAAGCTGCTTTGAACAGCTAAGATACCGATCCACCAAAACAGTGTGGATCGTTGTGCTCTGTCACCTGACTGCAGTCCACGTGACGGCTCTGACGGCCCCGCTACCGTTGCCAACGTCATACACTGCTTCCCCGTCAGACAGCTCGGCGGAAGTGTGTCACTGATAGGGCAGTGGACACTGCGGGTTATCCCCGGCGTTCCCCGCTGGTTTTGTCCGAGAGACGGTGGCGATTTGTACGAAATTGAGGGTAAGCGAGTTCCTGGAACACTTAAACGGAACACCAAGGACGGTACTGAAGTCTGAACTGACGTTCTGTGTTCCTGTGCTCGGTTTGTCCTAGTAGGAAAAGGTGAGAAGGTACAGCCCTCTGCAGACTGCGTGGTAGGTATTCTTTTTTCGACAAAACCGAGAATAACTCAACGACTAAGTTATCGGTCGGTCGGATCTCATTGCATAAAGATGCGCCATGCTCCCCTCCTTCGATTGGTTCTATCACTGAACGAATTATGCAACTAGTGTAGCAACAAAATGCAAAAGCTTATTTTGGGGGCAGATATAAACTTTCTTGTATTGTTGCCAAACTAGCTGGAAAATGTATACCAAAATAAGCCCAACCTAAGGTGCGGAGTCTCGCACGTCTTGCTGTTACGATTTCCGAGTGACCGTTAGCATAGTATTCGCGTTATTCCCGGTTTTGTCGAAAAAAGAATACCTACCACGCAGTTTGCAGAGGGCTGTACTCAAGGATTTACTATAACAATAATTAGTTACGGGTAAGCACGGACTTATGCAGAAAAAATCTCAATCTATCCAGCTGTCTGAGCGATGTGGGTGTAACTGCATATCGCGGATTTACCCCAGGAACACACACGCAAGTTGATTTTGTTCAATACGATCAGGGATATAAGGGTCACTGCACCATGGTAACACGCATTATTACACGAGACGCTTGGCACTGTCGCAATTATCTAACACACAAATTGAAGTAAACGTCCTCCCTGCCAGGTCACCGCACTCTCTATCAGCCACTGGCTAAGTGGCAAGTACTGACCGTCATATATGGAAAGCCCATCTGCTGGTGCGTCATCCCTCCGGGCTGAAACCCGCCGTACGTCTGCTGCTGCACTGCCATCTCTCGCACTCCCACAGTCCGGGGCACTCACAGGGACACTCACCCGGTCACTCAAACACGTGACCCGCGCGCTCCAGCGGCACGCCCGCTTCTGTTCACACCGGCCCGCCAACTGGCTGCCGGCTGAGCGGCGGCGGCGGCGGCGGCGGCCGGCGGCTCGCGCGCGCTGCCCGCAGCCCGGGTCAGCCGCGCGCCGTCCCCGTCCCAAGGCCAGAGGTGTCAGAGGGGTGCCGGTGGGTGGACGACAGGTGCCCGGGGGGGGGGGGGGGGTCAGGGTAGGAAGCCGAGGAGTGAGGACTTCCAGAGGGAGAGCGGAGGGAAACAGCCGGCGGACGGGTTCATCACCTCACGGAGGAACGAACACGGGTCTGTTATGACGAACATAACAAAACACCGTGTGAGAAAATAAAATATCACTTCGGTCTGCTCTGAGCGGCTAATCGGTGTGTTTTGTGTATGCATAGAAAGAAAACTCATCACTTTCAGCATTGCACCACGCCGCCGGAACAGAGAGCCCGTCCCTGACCGAGAAACAATACATGTTGAAGGACAAACATGGTGGTGGGTTTGATCGTACCTGAGATTAAAAGCAGACATAATACGATAATGAACGTAGCAGTAAACAGGTTGAAGGTTAGATCTAGTGAAAAACCTTTATGTGGGATCGATAAACAACTCAAAATGTGAAACGCGTTTATGCGCGAACGGTATAAAAACTGCATGCTAGTAAGAGCAAACATGACGGTGTGTGTGGTATATAAGGGTGAACCTTCAGAACAACCGACACTCTCACCGGTCTGAATCACGGCGCACCGTGTTCCGAGCCGGCTCCACCAACTACCCCCGACAATGTAAGCCGTATGACCGACCAAAGGTGGGCCATTGCCTGCACGAGTACAGTCAGTACCGCGCAAAGTTACGGTGGATCTATTAAGCCTGACCGAGGAAGGGCCTGCTAAATTTGAGTAACTGAAGCAATTGATATTTTCGTCCATTCCCCAGGTCAATTGGTTCGGTGACTCTCTTCTTTAGCAGCCCTTCCTCAGTCAGGCTTGATAGATTCACCGCACCGATGCGCGGTACTTTCAAGACTGACAGTACAATCCTCTCCCTATCATGTCGGGGCAAATATCCAAAGATTGACATTTAATCATTTTGGCATGTTTGAATACATTTCAACCCATTGTACGTGTCTTTAACACGGAACAAAAATGATAGACGAACGCGTTTCGGCTAAATCACCGTCATAAGCGTCTAAAAGGAGATCATCAGCGTCTAAAAGGAGCTCTCCTTTTAGACGCTGATGACGGGGATTTAGCCGAAACGCGTTCGTCTATCATTTTTGTTCCGTTTTATTATACTTGTCTCAACTGAAATACGTACGTGTCTTTGTGTGATGGTGTCTGTGACGAAGGGAAAACATGGTCAGAGAGGCGGGCGTGTTGGACGGAGATCAGCGGGGCATGTGAACTATAAACACGGTGGAGCAGCAGAGACGTTATCCACGAATCCCTAGACGTAACTATACACTTTGGAGACAACAGCTGGATGCACACATGGACCATTTAAATTACAGCCGCACGCCAGCGCAAATAAGCTGGCGACACACGAAAAATCAAAATTTTCCCTTTCATTAGAAAACATTGCAGTGTATAACTGTATATCTGTTACGTTGGGGGTTTGGGCGTCGGGTTTGTTTACATCTGATGGACGATGGTTAGTTGTAGTCTCATATGCCTACGTACGTATACGAGGTAACCGTATTTTATCTCCACCGGTTACCACTTACATACAAGCTCTACTCTGTACCGCCTCGTCTCGGGAGCGGGCTCTCGGTCCGCGGCCAACCACAGCGACATCTTATACCTGCCGTACCAGTCACACTCCGAATCACAGCACGGCCGACGGCCGTATCAGCTAACACGCTCCGCGACTTAGAAGGGCTTTGGTCTGCTGGCGGGCAGCCGCGCCCTTTAGAAGCATGCACACCCGCCAAATGGAGTTGCAGCTGCAAACTTTACACGCACTGACACTAGCCAGCTAAACATCCCTCATCTCCCTAATGTCCTTTATCTTGCAAGCACGCCGCTGCGACCGACGCCCAACATGACGAGGCTGGTGCGCGATGCTCCGAGGTCATCTGACGTTCCATCGTACGCTAAGATTTCCAACCAATCGCGCGTGTTGTCTCTGTATGTCACCGACAAAAGGTCTTCAGTGAATGAACGGTGTCATCGGGCTGCCGGACCGACCCGCGCCACCGCTGTGCCGCCGTGATAGCCGACCGGCCGCCGTGCCACCGCGGCGCCGCCGCCGCCCGTTGCAGCCGTCCCGCCGCCGCACCGCCGTCACCCCGTCCAGACTCAGGATGAGTTGTGAGGCATTGTGCCGCGAGCAGACGCGGCCGGCGGTCGGTACGCGTGCCGCCGACGCTGCCGAGCCGCAGCAGCGCCGCGGCCGCCACCGAGACCGAGATATAAATTAAAGACATGTCGTTTTAAGGCACGTAGGCCGCCAAGCTGGCGCCTTCGACCACCTCTCCGCTGCAGTGCAAGTTCGCACTCGTTTTGCACATGTCTTAAGCATTGCGTATAAAATGTGGGTCACGTAAGACCCCCGCCAGAGTCTTCCTATGACCGTCGCGCTGTGCGCACGGACTGATCTACGCCCCGCCCCGCTCGTCGCCTCGCTCGGCCGAGCGGGGACAGAAGATAGAAGCACTGGCAACCCGTTGCGTTGGACGCGCGGACTGACTCCTGCTCGCAGCCGCGCCCGGCGGGGCAGTGTCAGTGCTTTACAGACGAACCGGTGTTTTCGCGCTACAGTTCAAGTGAATTGTGCTCCGTGTGTTCGTGTTTCATCTTTACCGGTCTTCTTTGCAACTGCTCCTGCTTATATCTACTTCGCGTATGCTTCAATAAATCCTCTACGGGAAATATTCACGTCCATCTACAACTGAAAATCGCCGAATATCACAAACCCAGGAGGTCACATAGCAGGCGGGCGGGGTACGAATGTCGCACAAACTCACCGAATACAGTCCACATCCAACCAGAAAAGAACTCCGAGCGACAGTTTGTCAGCGACACTGTACATTAAAGAAAAATAGGAAATGCTGAGCCACAAGGTAGAGAACGTAGTAGCACCTGCACGCCGATCGTAAACTGTGCAACTTGTTAGGAGCTGGGTATACAAGTACCAAACAAGACAAATGCCAAAACGATTAGGCTGGAAATAATGCCTACCTAATTCGTCTTGGCTTGCTATTGGCACGCCGTAATCTTGGCAGACCGTAACATATCTAAGGTCACATTTGTAATATAAAAATAATTAGCAACACAAAACGGAAAAATTCCATAATTTACCCTTCATCTACAAATAATCGAAACAATCATCAATCTATAAAATGTCCTGCCTATCAATTTCAGACTGCTAAGTGCTACGCTACCCACTCACTCAAGATCGCTGCTCTCGTACCTAATTGTTGTCGACTAACCCCATGAAGTTTGTGATAAATCGATGCCCGACTTTCGTCAGCGGCGGAACACTGTGCAGGTGTTCTCTCCACCTCCCTAACGACCCAGTGGCGCCTGTTATCCACGCGCCCGGCGACCGTCCTCGCCATTTCAACGAATACCAAATGCCCGCCAGTGGGCTGTGTTTTGGCTTCGACTGCCACTGGGCTGCCCCTGTCTCCTGGCTATGACTCTGTTTTGCACCGCTTCCCCCGACCAATGAGACGACCCTGCTCGCGGTAACGACACCTGGGTCATAACGGCAGCTGACGACATTCCGTAACGACGAGCCCACTGCACTAGAGACGAGCCTCTGCCTTTCCTCGGGCGCTATCGGCCGAACTACTGGCGCCAGCGAGGGTGGCTGTTTACCACACTGACCTGGGGGGAGGGTCCCCTCACACGGTCACGGGCAGTCCCTCGGAACGATGGCCACGGTAAGCTCTGCTCGCACCTGCCCACAGCCATATCACATCTACGGTGGTCCTCCCGTCAGCAGCGATACGCAACTTCAGAGCGGCTCCAGGCCATCTCCAGTTTTTTATCGAGCCTTTCTTTACTGTGTCGCATTGCGACTCTTTAAAGAGAATCAAATGCCTACTAATCATGTTGATGGTCAATTCTAAATACTTATTGATAGCTGTAGCCCAACCTGCTCATGTCAGTGACCGGCCAAAACCAAACCACTTGCATTTGAGCGATCAAACAAGACACTGCTTAAAACATGCATTGTGCTTTAATTCTCATAAACTTCAGAGCTGGATATCAAGGAAGATGCAAGCAAGGCTAGACACAAACAATATGTACTTGGAAAAAACATCGATACATTGCGGACTTAACGAATTGCCATGCACATTGGACATTGCACAGGACATAAAAATGATCGTTAAACAATAAAAAAGTTTCTAAAACCAATTTCACACGTTTCGACTTCAAGGCTAATAATTTCATTGCTACAGATTCACTCAAGCACAAAAGCTGCCGACACTGTTGAACCAAGTGATCACTAACTGCACGACTTACAAAACACGACTTACCTTCCTGAGATGTAAATCTGCTGCGACTCACCAAACGCTTATCTGTCCTCCGCTTTGGCCTGATGTGCGACAATTATACAATCTTCGACCACACGATCTGAAACAGACGAAAGTAAATTAGACATGATCGGTACCAATTAAGCACAAAACTGAGAACGTCACGCTGCTAGGTTACATGTACTATACGACAAGACTGAATGAGAACTGACGTTCAGAGGAACTGACTGTTGTGAGAGCCGCTGTGCAGGCCAATCAGGCGACAGATCGTCAACCAGAACCTTGAAATATACGTTAAATTTGTAAGGCATGTATTGAGCAATAAACATATAAAAATCACATATTGTAAATCAATTGCGGTACTGGAAATGAGCACTGCCTACACGACAAATATGGCGACACCTGGCCGGATATGTAGGTACTGGTGTTACGGAATAATCCCCACTCCACGTGCGCTTGCGCATGAGGACGTGAGGGACGAAACAGCCAGATCACTACACAGGTCATGCGACCACCAAGCAGACATCAATGGATAACACTTGCCCGCCGTT